CACAACTCGCTGACTACAAAGGGTATGGGGCATACCAGTTGAACTTTGCATGGAATGCCATCAGCAAGCACCTTTGCCGAGATGCGGTGGTGGCCAACATCCGGATCTTGCAGGTTAGCGATTTGCCTCGAGCGGATGGCAACTGGTCTGGTGGGATAAAAACTAAGCCAAAGAAAGAAAACTCAACACCAAAAACACAGGCCCGCCGGCTCCAACAAGTCTGCAACGCAGTGCTCATTGATTCAACACGGCCAACTATGTTGGGCTTCGATGGCTGTTCAACCGGAGCCACTGGTAAATTGTATCCATTTGCATGGTGATGCCCCTCCAGCTTAATTGCTCGCCGCCCCCACAATCCCCAAACGCTTGAAAAGACCCTCGCTATTTCTCCACAGCGTTACGTCAAGTCCTCAGTCCAACCATCCTAGCCACAGCAACCACCACAAGGAGTCTCCTCAACTCACGACATTCCGCTTTGGTCAAACAACATGGACCAACAAGAAGAAACTGTTTCCTCCTAGCTGCTCTTCTTAAATAAATTTACAGATATGTATATATATATACACGAAATATATACTATGTGTATATACCTGTATGTGTGTGTGTTTCCGAAGCCGGTTGCTTTGAAACCCTTTTTTCCGCCCCTGGTTGAAGCCCCGCATCGCAATTGGGCCCAAGGCTCCTGCAGGCAAGGCCTGGCGCAAGCCCTTGAGGATCTCAGAGGCCCGCTGGGGGTCCTGCAGCCGCTACACAGATTTAGTGGCCACGGGGAGTCTTTGAAGATTGCTTTCCTCTTGGGTCCCGACCCCGGGACCCGTCCAGTTCCATGAATGGCAAAGGCTATTCCCCTGCGCATGGATGTGGAAGTTAACAAGAATGGGTCCTCCAAAAGGAGGTGTGTTTTCTTTTAAAAAAAGAAGCAAAAGCTCAGTCAACGCCAAGGCAGATTGCTCCACAAAACATATGGGGTTGGGGTCCATGTTCATCTGCAAAGAGATTGCATGATTGTTGCAGTGAGGGTGTTGCAATTCGCCCACCTGAGTTTCGTCATTTGGCCAACCCGTTTCAGGTGGCTTGCAGGAACTCGTGCAAATGGGCGTCTCATTCCACGTCATGGGCTGTGTTCACAACTCATGTACACACAAACACACATGCGCGCAATTCAGCTTTTAAGACATGAACACATGTCAGAATTGGGGGACTAAACAAATTGGCTCAGCAGCATTCCCCAACCGAAAAGGAAGCAGGGTAGGACGTGCTACACATATTGCTTGACAGGCAAGGAATGGCAAGGATATGAAACCAATTCCAAGCAGCCCTGAAACCTTAGCCGGAAACCAATACTGGGTACTTCCTGGAGCACAAATCGGATCTCTGGACAAAGGAGGCTGGGCGTAGACCGTGAACGTCAACCTTCAGTTCTCAACATGGCATCACGGCGGGTGTGACTGGCTTGTGCAGTGGATACCTCAATCCAGTAACACATCAAAGGACATGCCAGCAAGCAGCCTAAGGCAAGTATGCCCTACGTGTGGAGCTTCATGATGAAGCCGCTGAATGGTTCAGGACACAAGCCACGCTACAAAGTCATGAACGAGAATCAAAAGCTGACCCACACCTGTGCAATCCTTTCTACATCCCCTGCCAGTCCCCACAACAGCCTTCAGCTCCCTGGGGATAAAAACACATTGCAAACGAGTTGGAGCCGGCAGCTCCCCGAAAAACCCTCCCACCACACCTTGCTCCGTCCCGGGGTCCTCAAGCAACGCCGCCCCCATGCCGCCCTTCACGCTGAAGGACTTGGGGCAGCCCATGTTAATGTCGATGCCACTGACCTGGGGAAGTGGTTCCAATAAAGACGGCCCCAACGGGCAGAGAACGGCAACAACCTGCCGCTGTCGGCAAGCCTTCGGAAAGCCAAAAGGTCTGAATTTGGATTACTTGATCATAACCAACCGAACTGAACCAGTGGACACACTAAGAAAGGAAGCTTCATTGCGGGTAAGGCGGTGAGGAATGGGGCCAACCTTCGCCAAGTCGCATCCTGGCACACTGTCATGGCCGCCTGCACGGCGAGGTCCGCCGAGGGCGTGCCAAGCTGAAAAATCACCTTGGAACTCTCCTGGCAGATCTGAATAATGTTGACCCAGGATGAATAAACCCGTCCCATTTTTAGGGGGGTGTTCCCTCCAAAAGTGATAAATCCCCACTAAGAGTTAAAAGCGGACACACCCCCATTAATCAACTAGGGGCTTATTAATCCGGGGTTAACATTACATAACTTGCTGGTGCTCAGCAGGGAATGAGTGAACCCCTAGAGCCATCCAACTTGTGGTTTCCTTTAAAGCAAACCCCTGGATTCATTCCCTCATTCCCTCCTGAGCACCAGCAAGCTAAGATTTGCGAGTAGTTGCAATACTTCATGCTGATTCCCACAACTTCCTCACATCAGTGCGCTGAGGCACTTTGGCAAACTTCCAAGAAACACAGTTGAACTTCCGATTGAAAGTCATCTCAGAGAGATAGATGTCAACATGCTTCATGTATCGAAAGAGGGAAACCTCCAAAATGTCTGGCTTCCCTGTTGGTTTGCCTTTCGGTAGCCCAACCCCAAAAAGGGGTCTCCCGAAAAACACATCCACATGTCAACGCACCTCTCCTCGGCGCAAGTGGAGAAAACTGCCACCTTTTCTCGGGGTGACACATAGTCCACGATGCCAAAGGCCGGATTCTCCACTCGAACCGCTCCAATGATTTTGCGGTCGATGATCTCCTTAGAGAGTATGAACTTCAACCAGTCGGTTTTGTTTGCTTAACCTTTGCATCCTATTGCAGCTGGATTTTAAACATTGCATCCTTTTTGAACCCCAGTCTCCTCCAAGCCCTTCCTGTCTGTTTGGGCCCTACCAAAAAACAAGAAAAGCAAACAGCATGCCGCTGCCCATTCAACCTTCAAAATCAAAAGGGCGAACCACTAGCAAGCTTCAAACAGAAACTTATGATGAACATAAGAACGGCAAAACACCAGAGTGCAGTCATGGCTCCTCGCCCCAGACCAGGTCGGCGCCATACCTGAGGCTCTCCAGCCGAAGGGGCAGGGTGCTTCCTCGCGCGATGGGTAGAACGAACCCATTTTGGTTGTCGTTGCACATGCGAGGGACACGGAGCAGAACGCATGTGGTTGCAGAACAACATTTAGCTCTCCCCTGCGAAGGGCCACAGGCTGTTCGAGCGCATCATGTTGCCTTTGTTAGACTCGAGATCAGCGTGGGTTCTAGCGCTTGAGCAGCGTGCCCAAATTTGCTGAGGGCTACGACCTGTTGCATGGCATGGCAGGTATGGCAGGTATGGCAGGTATGGCAGGTATGGCAGGCATGGCAGGCATGGCAGGCATGGCAGGCATGGCAGTCAACACATATATTATATTATGTTGGTGGAGGCTAAACCCTAGGCAGGCAGTTCCCGAGTGGTTGCGTTGTGAATAGAGGGGGTCATGGGTTGCGTCCTTTCGTGGGAGGGCGGCCTTCAAGACACAAGATAGGATGCTAATAGCAATTTGTTTCAGTGTGACTTGGAATGTGACTGACGAAACCTTGAAGCATTTCGCTTCTGCCGTGATATCAAGTACCAAAGCCAAGCCCGTTGCTAAGAGCTACCTGGATCGAATATGCTCCGCAAGAATCAACAGTGGCACCGAAACAAACATCCGTCCGCCAGCACCCTCGGAATCTACTCAATGTGTTCAGCTCAGCATAGGCTGTGAGGCTACCCAGCATCATGATGAAACATATTGGCAGGCGCGGCAAACCTGTTTCACAGGAGACTTCGGTTCACCCGTGAGAAAGTACCTGTTGCGCAGGCCATGCGAGCGCTCCCTTCCCGCCATGAGCGGCGCTGGTCAGGGGTCGCCGGACCTCCCCTCCTAGTCTTCCACACCCAACTGGTGGCATCCAACCTCTCTGCTATGTTCAGAGAAATAATAGCCTTCCCCTTGCCGTGTAGGGCATTTGACCTGAGAGTCAGCCGAACCGTGCTAATCAGGTGAAACGTGGTTGAGAGCAATCTTTTCTTAGGGTGACTCCAGATTGGGACTGGAGCACATCGCCTGTTCCCCTCTTTTGGACTCCTCTGACCATAGGCGCCAGCACCTCCACCCCGCAGAACTTTCCATCGGGCATCGCAGCTCACATGGCAAAGGAATAATCGTAGCGACTCACGGCCAATGGCAAGGCTGGACTCTGGGCATTGGGCTGAGAAGGCGCTGCAAAATCTGCAAACATGATAGGAATTCAGATGCAAATCCAAAGTAGTTGCTCACCTTGCAGCTTGTGGGTTAGAGCTTGGGTCTTTATGAGTTGCTGCTCTGTTTTCAAAACTGGGTGATCGGAAAGCCTTCCACTTGGAGCATCTTAGAGCAACAGTTCCGTGTCACGCTTCGTGCTACTGTGCCTGGGTATTTGCTTCTCTTTGCATGGCGCCTTAAAATTCCTCATCCTTGGTGTGGAGCATGGGCCGTTCTTCTGGAATCTGCTGAGAGCATCTGAATCAACCTGCAGCCTGTATGTCACTTCAACACCTCTCCCCATCGCAATGATGCAGGTAACAATGTTCGGTAAAACGCCGCAATCTAAGTGATGGATTTGCTCTGCCGGCTTTTTGGAAGAACATTGGATCTTATGAATGCATGATTTAAGGATGAGCCAACAAAAACATTGAATCTAGACTTCACCATGCAGTCATGGAGCGGGAGCATTTGCTCAACAGAATGGAACTGGGATGCACTCGGCATGTGGGCAGCTTCTTCGATGTTCAGGTGGGCTAGTGTCTGGCTTGCAGGCACACTGAAAACAGTTGGCTGCATACACCCGGCGCCCAGAAAACACGTCTGACAGCGCAAGGCTGCCGGCCCACTGCCTTCCGGCCGAGAAGAACTGGCGTGATTCCAAGGAACAAAACATCTGTGGAAGAGCGTTTCATGACTGCCGAACCCTGCGCAAGGCCTCGCTGCGGAAGGTGCCCGCAGGGCAGGCCACACAGGAGCTATTGTCAAAGTGACCTGCCGGACACCAAAGCTCGCCGGTGAACATCGCTTTATAGAATTGCAGAAGGGTACGTCCTCAAAACAACCATTTATGGAAAAACACTAGGGCCCGCAGCGTACCCCCTCTCTAGAAATAACGTGCACAATTATGAGCACGCAAAAAGGTATCACACACGCATTTTGCCACGACATCCGAGTGGCAACCCGCGCTCAAACGCTTTGCTTTTGCTTGTTTGATACAAGCTGTTCCCCAAAAATAAAAATTATCCCCCTGCCTCGTAAACAGAAACATACACAAAACTAAAGCACATTACTACGACCACTCGACTCTCTCTCTCTCTCTCTCTCTCTCTCTCTCTCTCGGACTTGATTCAATTTGCATGCGCTGGTCCACTACGATTCCAGTTGTCAAAAACAGCCGAAATCTGCTCCGACAACTTCAACGTGCTAAGAAGCCAGGTCGTTACAAGCTCATACGGTGAGTCCATCATAAAACAAGAACCCAGCCAGGCTCACGTTTGCATTACTGTACCCCGATTTCTTACAATGCGGCAAGGGTTCGTGCGCTTTAAATCAGTAAGCAATTGGTTGCTAGCAGCTACAGTCGTCAGCCGTCCAGCAGGTTCCTGGAAAGACAACCACCACCCTCGGTCCCGCCCGCTCGCCTTCTGGGCACATCAGGAAGCAGCCGCCTATCCCCGTGGCCGTTGACTGCCAGTTGTGTGGCGGGGCAAACTTAAAGCTCTTGAGCGAACATTCAACAATACACTTGCAAGGTGGCAATGCTGCAAGACATTCCAGCAAATGCGTCAAACGGCAGCACTGTCGCATTGTTCAGAGTCGGTGCCTTGCCTTGCCCGGCACATTCTCAGCTAGATCACGCTCGGTAGAACCTGTGGAGCTAAAATCTTCAGACCTGCATTCAGAGCCTCCCCCACCCCGCGGCCTTGGTCATCTCCAAGGTCCACAAAGCTTTGTCCTACAAACAGCCGGTTATCAGCAAGCAGCTAACTGCAGAAACATGCGTGCAGAGGCCTCTTGCCTCGAGTCTTTCAATTCAAAACTTGAAGCTTGGCTGGGTTAAAGCATCTTAAAACTCCTTTTCATGCTTCAAGGCCAGCCAGAAATCTACAAGCTTAAGAACGCCTTGGCAGGCCCTGCCATGGAGGTTTCTCCGTTTGCAATTTCACTGCACCTCTGCAGATTGCTGCCGAAGCCAACCACAATTAGGCACAACTGCAGCCATCACGGCCGCACCAGTCCTGCAGCGCACTCCTCGCATTGCCTCCGCTGCAGCTGGGGCCTGCAAGAGCGGCTCTGGGCGTTGCCGTTTGAAGAGGAAATCTGAGCTAAACATTTGACGGATACGTGTAGCATTTAATCTACTGGATGGAACTGATGGAACTTGACTTCCTCACTCTATGCCGTTGATGCGCAAGCTCAAGTCACCTAAAATAAGCTTCAAATGTGCTTAGCGTGCAGCTTCAACAAAGCCATCGTAAGCCCTAGGGCCAGGGACAAAGCTGTACTCAAGCCACCTGTTGGTTCAGACTTCATCCTTGCAAGTAGCATAACCCAATCTGATCAAATCACATTCCCTACGTGCAAGCTGGCCCTGACAAAGCGTGCCTGAAGACCGCCTGCTGGTTGTGTGGGCAGATCTGGCACAGCTGGCCAAGAAAACCCCAGCCTGGGAGCGAAAATGAGACGTGTGGCAACACGCGAGCTTTGATCAGTGGCTTCAACGGCTGTCACAGAACAGCCCTGCCAATGTGAACTTCTTCAACCGCAAACTCCAACCTTTGTTTGGGGAAAAGATCATTCCGCTGTTGGAGACCCGAATACTGCTGTTGGGCAAGCACATTGCACACTCATCAGACCCAGCAGACATCCACGCATCATCCGAACAGCATGAACCATGCTAGTTGCCCAGTGTCAGCGCTGAATTTGTATTAAGTAATCACTTGCGACAACAAACGGCTCGAACAAAGTCGAAGGATGTTGCACTTTGGAACTTTGGATCATCAAACAAGATCAGTGCTTCGGCTCGCCAGGCTTCCAGTTGAGTTGCATTGAAGGCCCCGTGGCGTTCAATGCGCCAAGACTTCGGAGCAAAGCTTGGTTGCTTTCTGCTCCCCTGCTAAAAGTTTAACTTTGTGTGGTTTAATGGAAAGCCCATTAGTTGGCAAAAAGTTAGTCCTAACATCCAAGCAAAATGCACCAAAGAAGAAAACATCGTATTCAAGACCGGCACCTCTGATTGCCTCTGATTGCCAAGGGACGATTAGCCGACTAGCTCCTGAGGTCATCCAAAATCTGTTCGTTACGCCTCCAGGTTGGGACAACGAATGAAGGGGTGCAAACAAAAACTCAGCTGACTGGCGGCCTCCAACAACACCACATATCACAAGCAACGCGCGGACACAAACAGGTGCCTACATGCCGAGTTCCAAGGTGCTAGCAACGAACCACCACCACCCGCACTAGCACCACCAATCATAACCCTCACATGGGAATGCAGGGAAAAAACAAGTGCAGATCAGCTTTTGGTTCGGCCCGAACGTCCTAAACCGCCACCCCGGCAACCCCCAGACTTGCGTCTAGGCCACGGGAGCGCAAAGGCAACTCTGCGGTGCAGTTTCGCTCCTATCGGAGCGGCACATGCAATGGACCCCCCGTAACATGTGTGGCCTTCAGCCCGCACCATTCACTTGTAGGCCCCAGGGGTTGGGGGGCCCTTTTAGGGGAACCCTTGAGTTTGGGATTGGACGAGGTCCAAACTGCATAACCCAGGGATATCCAACGCAATTTACTGAATTGGGCCAACGCATCCCCCGGGCAAAGTGAAGGACAGGCAAGTCCTGCTGATGAATTATCCGCTTTCTGTCAGGCAAATGCCCCATCTCCGGTCGGCGCTTTGTAGGGTTGCTGATGCATGCCTTCACGTCCAACCGCCGGGGCTTGGAATGAGTGCATGGCAAGAGTTAAGTGCCGTTGCAAGCAACACAACACTTCACAAACATTTAACTCAACAGAAGTCCATGCGTTCTGAACCTCTCGCTACTTTTTTGACCTGCATGTTTGTAGTTGTGCCAATATAGGCCATACACCGACATGACAGCAATATTGAATAGGAAATCCGTAGAACGGCCTGAAAGCGCCAAAGGAAGGTGTTTATAGCCATTGACAAATCACGAATCACGGCGAATTAACAAAACATGGTGAGGTGGTCAGACCTTCCGCCCTTTCCTGCCCGCCCTTTGATAATAAAACTTCTGAAGGCTTACGTTCGTTCTTTCCATCAAGGGCTGCTGCTCGGTTGTTTACACTTTAGAGCCCTGGCCTGTAGGAAATTCCAGGAATGTGGTGGGAGGGGGGGGCACAAAGCATGGATCAGAGCATCTACGCTTTCAAGCGCTTGTACGGACTCATGACCCAAATGCGGCGGCACCATTTTTTTCCTCAGCCAGCGGCTTCAATATCCCCTCCAGCTGAGGCTGCGTGGTTCAGCTGTCGCCTGGCCAGCATCGCAAGCAGGACATGGAGAAACCGTCAAATCGACGCCGGCCACGTTTTTAATGGGGCAAACGCCCTGCTTTCGTTCAGCCGGGGCAGTACATGGCTTGGAGGTCCCACAGCCCCAGCTGGCCACGCCTGGGTCCTTCAGATTCAGCTCCACAAGCAGCGCCCGAGACTTCGGGAAGCCCATGGAGCGGCCCAGCGCCTGCAGCGTCACCTGCAGCTCGGTGGGGTTGGGGGAAGGATGGGGAAGGTAGGTCTGGTGCTTTGACAGCTGCACAAGGACACCCGCTACTGCTCAAGTTGCTGAAAGTTGCTGTGGATGGAAGTATCCCGCTTCCCAAACGATTAGCGATGTCCTTCCATTGTGTGAACGGCTACTGTGAGAATATCTCCCTCGTACGCCTCTTGATGTCAATCAAGGTACTAATGTTGCTGAAAACCCTTAAATTATTAGGCACTCGAGACCACTGTCAACCTCCATAGCGCCAGAAGCAAGCTTGGCAAGCCTGACTCCGGTCAAGTTGCGCTTGCGCATGCCACGCCCAAATGCAACAGAAGCAGGTAAGTCACAATCAAAACTCGGTATTAAAATGGTTGACCCAGAACCATGTAAGGAAATACAAAGGCGGCCGCAACTATTTATGGCTGGGATTGTCCCTTACTAACCTTCATCTACCCGGGTTTTGATTTATGGCCGGCTCGCGCCTTGTTGGGCTGGCAACCGCTCACCAGCATCTGCCGGAAGACGCGCTCAGCGGCCTTGGCCCTGCGGGGCTTTGCTGTGGCACAGGCATTGAGCATCGAGGTCCAGGTGATTACCTGGCAGCCAGGAGGGGGTGACCGGGCCTTCCAAGATTCTTGACGAAATACGTCCACAAACCACCTGCGTCACAAGGGAATCCAACAAAAAAAAGAGGCTGGTGCCTTGCCCATATTTCCGGGTCTGTCAAGCCCCGATGTGTTTTGCAATAGCCTGAATGCGTGATGCCAGTCCCGTTAAAAATCCGCTGGCCAAGGCAAAACCGCCTGCTGCAAACACGAGCTTCTCCAAGAGAGCATGCTGATATACTTGCCACCAGTATTGCTTTTAATTGTCAATGCCGTTGCACAAAAACATGCATCCCCTCTCCCCCTTCATATGCCCTGCAAGCTTACTTGGATGCATACAGGTGTTTTGGGTGCAATTGATTGATTGGTGCTTGTCAATGTTAGCCTCCTGAGTGACAGCCGGTAGGGGTAGGCAAATTCGCTCATTAAAATCCATCCTGCTGCTTCCTTTCAAACCGCATGCATCCATAAGACACACAAACACACACACACACAGACACATACACAGACACAGACACATACACAAACACAAACACACCCACCCACACCCACACATACGCAACTTTCTTGGCCACACCCAAAAACAATCTGGACCCAGTTCCGTCAAGCAGCGCTGGGCTCCAGCTGTGCGGCGGTCATTCCTGGCGAACCCGGCCAACTACTTAAACCGTCCGACAAACAGAAAACACAACGGAAGCCTGAACCAATGTCGTGCTTCAAACGCGCGCCAGGTTTTTTTCCATCGCAGGGCCATCTGGACCTCCTCTGGGCCACGTGCATTGTTTGCGCGATGCGATCCGTCTCAGTATTTCGAGCTGTTGATGAGACAAACATCTGAAAGAGTTAGACCAATGCTTAAGCTCGGAACTGACAGAATGCCGTAGTATGCCGTAGTGCCTCTGATTTGCAAGATCTGCGCTTGCACTTGCAACACCTTCTCCAAGATTCACTCAGCCCCAGCTCTGGCCACCTGCAACAGCTTCTGCCCATGGGCCAAACGATCTCGAGCCACTCCCCAGTCAATTTCCAGGTTCGCGCATGCTGAAGAGCTCGGATAGTTGTTTTTTTGGCCAGCGTAGCTCGTCTCATGCGACTGAATCTCTCGGAGCTCACGCAACTTGCGAAATTCCACGGAGTGACGGCTGGGTGCCGTGCTCGGCCAGCTCGATCAGCGTCTCCGCTTCTTCTGCTTGGGCAGCTCGGCGTTGATGGTCGCCATGTATGCCTGCCCGCGTGCGTCGGAAAACACAAGTCGCACACAGTCAGGCATGGTTTTTAGCAATATACCTGGGCTCAGACTTCAGAGCGTTCATCACCTGAAGCCAACAAAAACCAACCAAAACCATCAAATCTCGGTTGCTTTCTGCTCCCCTGCTAAAAGTTTACAGTATCTTTTAGTGGTTTCATGGAAAACCCATTAGTTGGCCAAACAATGTTCAAGTCCTAACACTCGAGCAAAATGCACCAAAGAAATCAGGATGCTCGCATGGCTCAGGCCGGGAAACCCAACAAAAATGCGTCCCTGCCGCGGCCTCCAACGGGTCCTCGCCCTCGTCTGGCACATGTGCCTCCACGCAAGTCTCCTCCGAGGTGCGCACGCCAAAGGACTTGGCCTCGTCGTGCTCCTGGCGTCAATCGGGCTGCGGTGGAACGGAAGGTCCCCCGCAAACCAACAAAAATGGGAAGTGGGGGAACAAACATGAGTCTGTGAATAAACTGTCTTTGTTTGGCTGCACCTGGGCTGTGTTTGCTGTTCGCGACTTGCGGACTTTGTCACGAATTGCACCATTTTACCTCAGACCACGATGGGAGAATGACATTTAATCACGTGGCTTCTTTCTTCTTCCTCCAGGTGGTCGCAGGAGATGCTGTACGAAAGCAATGTTCCCAGGATATGCAACCCTCAATCTCAAGAATCTTGAGATATCACGAGCCTCATTTGTTCCAATCAATCACCCACCAGGGAAACAGAAACATCATCAGGGTTGCGTCTCATTTGGGCGACTCTGTGCAGCTGTCCTCCTCTGTTATCCCCGGGCAGTTCCGGTCCATGTCTGCCGGGGAGTCGTAGGTGCAGCCGCCTTGGGTTTCAGTGAGTCCTTGACAGGTGATCACTGCGCTCAAAAGGTGGACTATGGCTGTACTCTTACGCGCGGCCTGGCCACACATCCAAAGGGAAAGGGAGGAGAAACATTGCAATGCCGCCAAAAAAGCCCTATTGCCCATTGCTCAGGGTGTGCCGTGATGGCGTGGTCCAAGGGTGCGTCACCCAACTGCTCGAAACACCAAGGATGAAAATGTTGAGAAGTGTCCTGCTGTGCGAACCACCGATCCTGAAGAGTTTTCATGTCTCATATGGCGCATGTCGTCATGTTATTAAAGTTATGTCACTCCCTGTGCCTTCTGCTTTGCCAGAAGCTCTGTTCGGTGCCCATATTACTCATTCCAACTGGCAGCTGGGCCGGGCACCATCGCCACGCACGGCACCAATCCAGCAGCTAGCCTTCAATGCTCCTCCTCGCCATCTTCGCAAGAAAAAAACTATTTCGCGGATCTTTCGCAACTTCAGCGCTCCTGATCGCTCTTGCTGCTGCAGCCACGCTTGCAAACTCAGTAACCACTCCGTTCGGTTCCCTTGCCGTGGCAGGCTTCCAGCGTGTTGCATGAAAGCAGTCACTGTCATTGTGGTGCCGAACCTTGGCACAAAGCTGTATGGGCTTTCGCCGGCCTTTCGCGGAACTTGCGTCAAAATAGCCCAGCCACGTCTCCTTGTCTACAATAAAGTCGGGTCTGCAAACTTTGAAGAGTACAAGCGTGCCTTCAAGCAGCGTTCGCTAAATATTGTGCGAACTTTCGCACACTGTGTCGCCCGCCACAGCACAAGTCCTGACAAGGAAGGTCTGATCAACTCCCATATCCCCCTTTTGCCCAGCTTGACCGAGGCACAATAGATGCAGTAGAGGTGGACGGTCCGGAGATGCGTCATGAGCTCTAGCAGCCTTTGAATGGCCAGCGCTGCGTCATTCAGCTCAGCTCGCTCCTCGTCAGCTGACTGTTGCTCGCCAAATGTCTAAGCCTAGATGGGATACATGGATGGACTAAACCGTGATGTACCCAATAACTATAACGCTTAACTTGGCTGAAAGTGGGCCAATGCTGCATGTAGAAAGAAGGGTTGCACCGTCAGGTGGGGTGGACACTATAACTCTTCAAAATGACGTGCGTGACTCCAAAGAAGACGCAAAGCTTACGCGGGTACCATTGTTACATTGTTTGGGGGGTCTGTAATTAGAGCTGCAACCCACATGTGATGATTAAACGGCCCGAACACTCAAGGTGCTGATTAAAAAACGTCCCAACAAGGAAATACCGTTTTTGCCGCCCCGAAATGAGACTCGGCTCCTGATAGTCAGGCAGGAGCTCGTTTGCCGCGCCTGGCCAGGGCTCTGTCTGCCGAGCCTTTGCCACCTCCTGGCCGCTGGTCGGCCGGAGCAAAGGTCCAAAGCCAATGGAAAGCAAACCCCCACACGAGGCGATATAGTGCAACCAAAACCAAGGGCCCACCCAAACCGATACACGAAGGTAACTTTGTCGCTCACATGACCTGAGCAAATACTGCATTTCAGGTCCTTAATCCCCTCAATTCTCCTTTTGGGTAACTTCCTTTTGAGGCATGTCAATTTGCCAGAGCAAACTTTTCCTCCCGACGTGGCCCCCCTAAATGGACAACATCCTCAAGGGGCACCCTCCGAGTCAGGGGGCGGGAGGTGAAACGATGGCCTCCTCGAGGTCCCGGGCCGCCTGCGTGGACTCTGGGGGCCACAGCGGGCTCTCGGGCAGCTCCCTGGGCCACGGCCGGCCCCGCGAGCGTTTGGCTGTGAAACGAGCCCGGTGAGTGATACACCGATACACCTGATCCCTTTATCCGAATCAAAAGTCCCCCTAAGAAGATGTTGTGTTGTCCAGACTTTAAAACAAAGAACAGGTCCAGAAATACCACATTTGAAAGAGGCCAACTCGAAACCGATACTAAACTAGAGATTTTCCCTCGTGACCCCAACTCGAGCAGTATCCAGGGTCCCTTCAATCCTTTCCTTTCAGAAGCCCTAAGCAACAGAACCCAGTGGAAACAAAAAAACAGAGGAGTCTGAACCATTTAGATCCCTTACTTGCAAATCGCATTCTGTGAGCTTGTTTGACCCGGGTGGGCTTGGCAAAAATCCTGAAAAGAAAAAGGAAACAATGCTGCTCCCTTCGATGAATGTGCGCGTGCGTGTGGCCGTGCACGCCCGCACGTGTGCGTCTGTGTCTGTGTGTGTGTGTGTGTGTGTGCGCTTCTGTGTGCGCTTCTGTGTGCGCTTCTGTGTGCGCTTCTGTGTGCGCTTCTGTGTGCGCTTCTGTGTGCGCTTCTGTGTCCGCTTCTGTGCGCGCTTCTGTGTGCGCTTCTGTGTGCGCTTCTGTGTGCGCTTCTGTGTGTGCTTCTGTGTGCGCTTCTGTGTGCGCTTCTGTGTGCGCTTCTGTGTGCGCTTCTGTGTGCGCTTCTGTGTGCGCTTCTGTGTGCGCTTCTGTGTGCGCTTCTGTGTGCGCTTCTGTGTGCGCTTCTGTGCGCGCTTCTGTGTGAGCTTCTGTGTGCGCTTCTGTGTGCGCTTCTGTGTGCGCTTCTGTGTGCGCTTCTGTGTGCGCTTCTGTGTGCGCTTCTGTGTGCGCTTCTGTGTGCTTCGCTTCTGTGTGTGCTTCTGTGTGTGCTTCTGTGTGTGCTTCTGTGTGTGCTTCTGTGTGTGCTTCTGTGTGTGCTTCTGTGTGTGCTTCTGTGTGTGCTTCTGTGTGTGCTTCTGTGTGTGCTTCTGTGTGTGCTTCTGTGTGTGTGTGCTTGTGTGTGTGTGCTTGTGTGTGTGTGCTTGTGTGTGTGTGTGTGCTTGTGTGTGTGTGCTTGTGTGTGTGCTTGTGTGTGTGTCTCTCTGTGTGTGTGTTTGCAAGTTGGGTGTGGACAAATGTGTGTTGTGGCACAAGCCCCCTGCTCAGGTCGTGCAACTGATATTGACTTCCAAAACTGCCACAGCATGTGCCTAAGTTCTCGCTTTGCTTTGTTCGCCAAGCTGCTTCTGTCGATCCAAATGTTCCACTGCCCTTTCCGCAGCTTTCACATAGTTTCGGACTTTGAAGGTGGCAAAACGTGCGCGTAGACCACTGCTGTACCTCGAGTTGACTCAAGCTATGCAGGTCAAAAGGGGCCAGGACGCAATATATGTATATATACATATATTTGTTCTGCAATATATGTGCAGCATTCATGTCCATTCCGTGCTGCTGGGTCTCGGTCTTCGACTTGTGCTGTTTTTTGTTTGGGGGGGGCTGACCCGTAGGAAGTTGAAGCCGTGTCATTGCCTTGCTGCTCTGCTCATAATAATGCTCATAATTATTCTAGGGACAAGTACGGTCAAATGAAATGACTTTGACGAAGGTCAGCCCTAAACTCGATGCAGAAATTCTGCCAGAAAACAGCCGTTCGACGGCTGCTGTAAAGGAATGTGGCAGCTATGCGCTGCTCTACGATATTAAGTCTTGGCTTTGGACGGTTGAGCCCTTGAAAGTGTAGGAGCTGTTCGTACCCGACAAACAGCAAACACCATTTACCTTGGCTCTGAGTGGCGACGCCACACAACAAACACGTGGGTGCGGGTCAAAAATGGGTACCCAAAATGGAACCCTAGTAAATGCAAACAATGACTAAAACCTGCGATCCCCTGGTGGTTGAATTTTGACCCATACCCACGTGAAGGGAAGAACACATGTTTCAGTTGAGCTCAGTTGTTCACAACAGTGGCTCCCACCCCACGTCTCATCCGGCTCCGAGGAACTGCCGCGTTAATGCTTCCTCCGCCCGCTGCCGATGGCGCAGCCTCTCCTGAAAAAAGAAGTAGACATTTTGGTACAATACTCGCAATGCTTGGGTGCTGCCCCAGCAAAAAGTGATTCACGTTTTGCTGGTTACAAGGAGATATGAGGGGAATCCAAAAAGTTGAAGTCTAAAGATCCAACCCAATAGAAGTAGAGAATGCGGTACATTACAAACTCCGTTCTGAAGCTCCGATTGTGTACCGCGCCTGAACTGTGAAATTAGGAGTGTCACACATGGCTGGAGGCCTACCTTCAGTATAATTACTTCAGTCACGCGGGCACTGGTCGGTTGTTCAGTCTACACTGTGAAAAGTATGCCACGAAATCTTGCAACAGGCAACTGCGACAAAGATGGAACAAACAACTTTCCAACATCATGTTGCCCTACAACCCATAGCATTCCGATAACTGCTGGACCAAGTTGGAGGTCCAAGTGGGTCGAGCTCAAGTGTTGAAGCTTGAACCTTGCTGTGTTCTGCAATTGCTAAGCCCCATATCTCAGGCCGACACGCTTGCAAAACGAGCCGCAGCACGCATGTCGGTTTCGGATTGGGCGCTAAACCCAGAAGTAACTGCAGCCCATCTTGGCCAACACGCAGCCGCTTCAAGTAGGTACATTGTGGGACCCTCCGGCGAAGTGCCATTGCTCCGGTGGCAAGCAGAAGTGCTTCAAACAAAGATGCCCCACAACCCATAGCTGGCGAGGCATGTCATTGATATCAAAAAGAAACCGAAGCATAGCATCGAAACCAACATGCTCCTCAAATTTTCGAGACAAATAGGGGTCAAACGGTCAAACTTGCCGGCAATCCTCCCAAGTGGTTCCCCTCCTCGAACTCCTCCCAGGTCTTAGTGTCCCACCAGTGGGCCTTGGTGTCGTCCTGCGGCTGTGGCCGCTGCGCTTGTCGGGCCTTGCCCTGGAAGATGCCCGCCTCTTTGAGGCACTGCTTCTGGCCCACCTGCAAAGGCAGCCAAATGGCCATCAGTCAAAATCCCCCAGTGAACATCCCAATACCCACAAAAATAGACTAAAATGGGTGGTGCACCTTCCCCAGAATGGTACCATTGGTTTTGACCCACGACCAAATGGAAAGCAGCAACAGAAGTCATGCTGTGAGTGCACCCTTGCCAGCGTTCCTGAAGGTATTTAAATTGCTTGGACATAGCCAACTAAACTAAAACAACGTGAGGGCTTTCAACAGTCAACACACCCTTGTCCCCCGTCCCTCCGGAGGGGCGGGGGTGGGGTGGGAGGGGGGGAAGGCGCTGGCGCCTCCGAGGATAACTTTTCGAAGGCCTCGCTGAGTGCCTGGAAGGCGTCTTTGGCCTTGGCGTCCTTGGCAGAACATGATGGGTGGCTCGTCTTCAAATAGCTGAGACCCCTCCTCTGAAACGGGCGGTTCCTTTTTGTTTTCGGGCAAAAACAAAAGGAAGGATGCCCGTTTAGTGGAAAATACACACCCAAGAGCCCAAGCTGTGTGTTTGTTTGTTGGCGGTGGGGGTGAGTTTGTAAATGTGAGGAACGCCTGAGCGCCGGTCGGTTAAAACAGAAAACACAATCGGGAAAGGATATTTGGCAATTGGCTGAAGCGAAGCATAAAAATTGGTGAAGCGATTTGGCTATTTGGCGATTGGCGATTTTGCCGGTTCTTGGCGATTGGAACAAGCCCCAAAAACTGGAAACGACTTGGAGGTCTGCCAGTGGCAAGCTACGCAGCTTGCCACCGAATGACTGCGCTCATGACGCTTTTCTCTGAATTGGCCTGTGAGCTCAAGGCGTGGACTGTCTCTGTCTTGAAGCAAGGCGATCAAGAATTCCGGCCGCAAGCACCGCGCCAGTCGACGTGTAGGGGCATTCACGCAAACAAATCATCTGTTGGGCCAGGGACACTCTCTATTGATACTGCAATGGAAGGTTTTGCAGGAGTCAGGAGTTCAGAGAAAACCATCATGCAAGGACAAAATCTTAAATATGGACCCAGGGCCATTTTGGACCCTTTGGGGGCTGATTTCCCAGAATCAAACCAGAACTAACGGCTAATTCAGCAATACACGAGGGGTTCATACCGAGCTTCATATACGGGCTTATACGTTCAGCCTTAGAGATGTTGAACTCGCATAGGCCAAAGGCGCTGAGCACTTATCCGGGTGGACAGCCAGGGCCAGTCGCCGGTAGTGACTGCGCACGGTCGCGACGTCCACAAGTTCCACGGCCAGCTCCAGTCGAGCGAAGAGGTTGGCCGCACTCAAAATGCGCTCCACCGCAGACATCGGTGCCTCCAGCAAAATTGCAAATCTTGGCACACTGAGCTTGCGAAACCCGACGCTGCCCACGCCCGAACTGTGCGGCCATCCTGCCGAATCGGGCGCACTTCTAGATTCACGCACTCGGCAACCACAAGGACGGCTTGGTGTGACACCAAAACAGCTCTCCTGCAGTAAAGGTACACACCGCTGAGCCAACAACATCGACAGTACAAGCAAACATCATGCATACGGCAGACAAATTGATCCACACAGATGTAACCTTTTTCCCATGGGCTTCGCAGGGACTCTGCGCAACTATTGCCTCGACAAGATCTCGGGCAGCTATTTGGCAATTGCCAGCCGGTGGACTGCCCCAAAGCAACATAAGACTGCTAAAGAATTTGTGCGGGTCAAATCGCTCAAGCCAGCTCTGAGCCCTCAGTGCTACTTATACTTAATGTATATATATATGTATTAATACATATATATATATATGTATGTTATAACATCTATTTGATTCTATATGCGGCTCCCATGCAACATATTTGAGGCGCGCCAACTCCAATGGAAGGAGAGCTTCCAAGCTCCCCGAAGTGCGCCTGATTCACAAGTCCACGTCCATGCGCGGTTTGAAGCGCACGCTCTGGGCATGGCTTCCGTTTGGCATCCTATGTGGGTGCTTCGATGCTGCCAAGCCCTTGTGGCGTTTAGCCGGTGCCTTGTCGCGCAGCTTGGCTGAAGTTTAGCTTGGCTCCTATCAGCGGCCACTGTTGGCTCCACGCAAGGGACAAATAGAGCACAAACACATGTCTCCCTTTCGCAACTCTGACAATCAGAGCCGAGGTGGCAGCCGGCCAGCGTCATGTGCATCCGCACCAACGTGAGGAAAGCACGCCAAGGAGATCAGAATGGCTCCCCTGACCGAAGGCGCTCCAGTAATCTTTCCGCCGCGACATGCCGCGACGTGCTTGCCCCAAGTAAACAGGCCGGGCTGGCGCTCCAAAATGTCCGCCACGCTATCTGGGTCGCCTTGCTGCGCGTAGGCTGCAATGACCTCGCCAAAAAGTGAACAGAAGTCCGCTGATCCAAAGCAACGGCACAAAACTCGTCTGGGGATGTGTCATTTCACCAAAAATGATTGTCGGTGGCAAAATAGATTGTCCATTGGAGAAGCCGCGTTGCTACAGTATTGAGCACAAGGACCTTGCCCCAGAACGCCGAAAGACTTATCGCACTTGACGCTGAGACTACCTTAAGTGACAACTCCCCAATGGTCATGATATGTGAATCAGTGTGTGGGTGTGGGTGTGTGTGTGTGTGTGCCACATAAAATTTGTTTCATGTAGAATCCGAAGAGACCCATACCGCAGTGGCCAGCATTCATGACAGCAGCCGGGGAATCCATTGCGATGCATGCCTGACTGGATATCAAGCGAGAAAGCAAGGCAACAAAGCTTAAGGCGCAGTTCCTCAGCCTCTGCTTGCCCTACGGCATCCCACCAAACAGTTACCGTCCACCCTTGCCGTGCTTAAGCTGATTTGGCGATTGCAGAAGCGCGGCTGTGTTGTAGGAGATGAGGTTTGGCACCACCTGGCAAAACGCATGCTGGCCGCATGTGCAATGTGCCAATTCTGGCACCCAGGGTGCATAAACTAGGCATTGGGCTAGACGAAAAGGCCAGTCCAAATTCGAAGCATTCAATGGAAGCTCAGAATTCGCCCTTCTTCCCTAAAAGGTGATGCTTAACCAAAACGAGAACTTTAACCTGAACAGGGTACCCTCTAAGCTGCTTGTTCCCCTTTAAGATCACCCAACATGGAAACTCACCCCAAACCTATGTGACTTGTCCTCCCGCAAGGGCGCCTGGTACTCCTGCATCTTCTCCAGCCACTCAGCGGCCCCAGCAGCATCCCCACCTCAGAGATGTCACCCCCTGAAATCGCCTGGGACCCTGGAGCTGCCAGGCAAGTAAGATGATGGGTGTGGGTGGGTGTGGGGGTGTCGAAAATTTGAAAGGGTCTCCTTGAGGGGGCAGAAGCTGCACCTGCTCGGTGCCCCGCTGCAATCACTTGCCAAAACCTCTCCTACTGCCCAGCGGAATGTTCAAATAGGAAGCAGTGGAAGAGCAACCAACGCTACTGGAAACTCCAGATCGAACGGAATCGCTTCACGGAAACGTGAAACAAGCCAGCCAAACGGAAACACTAAACAAAGAAGAGTTCTCCGATCTATTTTGGAAAACAGTCCTTCGTAGGCCGGCCTTTGGCATGGCTCTTGATGACTGTGTTGTAGGACACGATGTTGGGCCTGAGAGGAGGGTGTCTGTTCCATGTCTCCTCCTGGTGAAGGACTCAGTGCAGGGAAAAGCCCGGAAACAAGTAAACACAACAGCATGCCTGCCGAATACGGTGCATCCGATTCACTGCGATCAAGGACGTCTCAGTCTAAGTCTTGGTTTTAATCTGATTATGACGTATCAGAATAACTTCCACTTTGGCAACAGCCCCTCCTTTCTGACAACAATAACCCCTCGCAACAAGCACATGACAGAACCTGTCCCCCTCCATGCGAAAGCCAGGGCCAAACGCCATGGTGGGAGTCGTTTCAAACCATTCACAACCGGCGCCACCTGCCCCACTGCTTTCACAAGCAACCCCCCCCCCCCCCCGCATCCCCAGAATAGCGGCGCCCAGAGATTGAAACTTAAAGTTGTATAATTAACATCAGGTGACCGCGTTTCAAGTCCCAAGCCAATCAAGTTTCTTGGGAGGGGGCGAATCAAGCAATTGCTTTCTGAATCCAAAGCTAGCTGGCCAATGTGAGCAGCCTGATGCCAAGGACCCACTTCAAGGGCACTTGAGCGTCAACTGCAACAACTGCAACAGGTGTGCAACGATCAAATCAGGCTAAGTTATATACTGTGAAACGTGTGCCATGCCAAGAAGTCAGTCTTCAGTTCTTTGCCATACGGAAAGAGAGGCGACGCTTGAGGATTCACACAAACTTCTTGGCACGTCACCCCAAGAGGGATGAATTTGCATGACAATGCCTGGGCCTAGCTGGGCCCAGACGATGGTAAGTGCATCCATGCAAGTGATGGTGCCAAAATGCCAGGTATGTGGAAAAAAGCCTTCTTTGGTACCAAGCGGAATGCCCATCATGACTGTTTCGTCTCTTGGGGTCACTTGGCTCACAGAAAGCGGAAGTCCCAAAACCCATGTCCCTTTACCCACCTACGGAAGTGGAGAGCAGCATGGGGACCCCTGCTAGCGTTATCCCAGTTGCCCAGCGATGGTACTCTTTCTTGCGTGATCATACTTTGAGTGAGAGACCCACCAAACAAAAAGGGATTTAGAGGGGGCATCATTGGGACCTCTTGCGTCCAATTCGCATTGGAGCCCAGCTGGGCGAAAGGGGCACCTCTTGCCGCTTGGTTCTAAGGTCCGGGGTTGTATGGCCCCGAAATCGGGCTGATTCCATGTGTGAAAATCCCAAAGGACAGATCTGGGTGCTTGGATGTGCTTGGGGTTCCAAGTGATACAGCTATCTCGTGGTTGAAAGCAAAGCCAACCTCGAGGTAAGTTTAAGAACCACTTCAAACACAACTTAAGGGCTTCCTCAGCTTCATTTTTGAAGAAACTCTCAAATAGGTTTCATGTTGGCTCTCCAATTCCCCCCAAATCGATCCCAAAATGGTGGGTGTCCCGTTGACACCAACTGCAAGGGAGGGTTTTCCAAAGAAAGGCGCACACCCTGTTGGATCCCCCATTTTGAGGAAGGGGGTGTGGGATCCCCAATTCGATCCATCTAGTCTTCCCTATAGAAGGAAAATGGCTCACCATAAATGGAGATGTCCAGGGGTCGACATCCGCCCTCTCCGCTGCCGCGTCTGCGTGCGTCCGCGGGGCGCGGGGCAGCTCTGCAGCAGCTCCTGGGCCTTCTTGAAGTCCCCAGCGCGGGCGAAGGCGCCCAGCGCGGCGTTCAGCGCGAAGAGGGACGGACCCACGGCGCTCGTCATCCGCTGCAGCCAGGAGACCTGGGCGTGGAGAGTCAGATGTCATCTTGAAGCTTCAGTTAGTTGCGGGATTTATATTTGTTTTTCTCGAAGAATATGGGGACCTTCAAAGTTGGTACCTCCAAAGAAGCTCACTATGATTGGCCCAAATGGGAGTCGTCTCACGCGTCTCACGCGATGTCCGAAGGGATGCTTGCTCCCAACAGGCTTGTTCCAAAGGCTTGAGCCTGTTCACCCAGGGTGTAAGGTGGATTTTGTCTGGGGTAACACCCTTGGGAAGTAACTCTTCATTTGTTACACACACACACACACGTTGCGTGCTACCTACATGTATAAAACCGGGACAAACCGGCCCTGGTCCGCCCACGACATGTTTTTTTTTGTGAAGGCACTTGCTTATAATACCAATGCAAAAGAAAGGAATAAACAAAACAAAAAGGAATCGCACGGACCCTAGAATCTATGGCTTGGAACGGCCATACGTACCAAGCTCTCTCACCTCCGTGCCTAGCCCTGGAAAGAAGAGAGGGGCAAACCATAGGGTTGCTTCTTCTAGCGAAGGATCACCGAAACCTGAAGCAAACTGTATGAATAGCCTCTGGGTGCCATATTCATGGTCAAACAAATGCAACAGTTCTCTCAACTCCCAACTGTCGCACAACTTGGGGTTTGGAAGAAACAAACACAAAACAGAAAGCTGCGTTTGAATCTACAACAGCTGAATGCAGAATCGAAGGTGCAACATGTACAGTTCTTGGGCCACTGAGGACACGTCGGCCCGTTGCAAGCAAGACGCCGCTCCTTCTGTGTCGCCCGACCTCGCGCAAGCATCGATCACCGCGGTGTAGGAGATCTCACCTCACCGTCTCCAAATTGGCTGCCACCTGCCTTGCCTACATCTGAAACAAACAGGCGTGGACCCTTGCCAAAACCACCAGTTGACCTTAACAAAAAGTCCTACAAAAACACTCATGTGCTCTCTGCCATCCTCTTCCATCACCAAAGTGG